GGAGCTGGTCGTAACCCGAAAAGTTCGTTAACAGAGGCGTTCGTAACCCGAGGTTCCACTGTACCTAATACTTTCAAACAGATTGCTTCTACTTGTTTGTGACATTTGTCCCCATTTAAAGCAGACCTGGCCAATGACATCTTACGACAGCAAATCTCAAGTCCCCAGCTCTGTGTGTAATTTTTAACCTCTAAGCCGTTTATTATTTAGCTCACAAAATAGATTCTGTCAGCAAAACTACTGACAGTCACTTTGAGCAATTAGAATACTTGATTACTACTCTAAAGCCACTAAATATTCAGTCAGTGAATATTTAGTGAATATTCAGTGAAGAGACTGTCAAAGGAGACAAACAGTTTTTATTAAGGACTCTGCATAAAACTCTCTGCATCTCTATCAACTATATTACCCACCGCTGCTTCATACAAGTAAAAGACTTTATTCTCGCCAATTCATGCTCTTTTCATCCAAGAATAAAACCAGTTAGCCACTCAAATAGTGTGCCGTTACTGAAAAAGTCCAAATCCTAGAAAATGTCAACCTTCTTTCTGATAGACTGCAGGTTCTACTTCTATTTGTTCAGGACCGATATAAGATATTTAATGATAACCATGCTAGAAGGTATCAATGTAAAAGGCAAATGCTCTGAATGTAAACCAGTTTCAAACCTGTATCACTTTAGGCAGCAGGTAGAAGGTTCCATGAAAAAATGTTCAAAAAAAGACTTTGTGCATGAAAAGCACACCACAGAGGAAGGTTCTCAATCTTGCTTCCTCCCTGATAGGCTAACAAGATAAAGGGATTATTTTTCCTATGCATGGCATGTTTAGTTATATTATGGTTCATTACAAAATGAAGTACAGGCCATGCACAGATGTACAGATTTATTTTAAAGTATATCCTTCAGGGAAACTTAAAGGCAGCTATTTTGGAAGACATTATTTATGTATGGACATTTTTTTATTGTATTTTAATTAATATTTATTCTTGTTTTACTGTAAACCGCTCAGAGTCACTCTTGAGTGAGATGGGCGGTGACTAAATTTGAAATATATATAAATAAATAAATGAGACTGAATTTTAATCAAACAATCAATTATTTACTATAAGGCAATGCAGAAGAGAGAACATTCGTTAAAAGTGTCTAAAAATATTCTCAACTGGCATCTGAAATTCAACAGAGTTGACCCTCTATTGATGAGGGACTTCTGAACAGGGATACCATCACAAGGGTCGTTCTGTCTGTTGGGTGTCTCTCCAATTGTCACCTTCCTTATCCAAGATGAGGGCACCTGGTGTAAATTTTTCTCAAACAGATCTGCAAAAGTGGGATTGCTCCTGTGGGGGCACCTCTATGAAGCCCATGACAGCAATTTGAGAAGACAGCAATTCTGAAAGAGAATTGTAGCAAGTGCAGCTGGAAAGTGCAGAGTATGGATTATTCTCTTAATTTAGAAAAATGGAACTTTTTGGTAGAACTTAAAAAAAAAAAACTGTTCTAAATCTTTTGAAAGATTTTAAGCTTCACCAGGAAAACAAAAACCTGCTGACATTAACATTTCAGTTAATCAGCTGCCAGCATTTCAAATACTCTTCCTTTATGTACCTATCCCTTTTTAATAAATCCCAAATTGATTCTTTCTCCCCAATCAGGCAATCTGAATTATAATCCTAATTATATTGTCAAGACAGATTAATGCCCCCAGAAAGGTTAAAGGAAGAATTGTTATTTAACATCATGGTGCTGATCTGGTGACCTCTCTCTTTAGTTTCTGCTTGAGACAGATCATTTATCAAGGGTAAAAAAAGAAGCCATTTTGTCAGGAAAGGTCAGTGACACAGGACTGGCATATTTCAACCAACTGGAGTGAAAGAATTAATCCACTTGTCAGTTAAATGCATTAGCCCTTTTAATTAAATAGAATTACATTAAATTAATTAAATTAAATTAAATTAAATGCATTAACCCTTTGATGAAATCCAGAACCGGCTCAGTCAATATCCAGATCATGTCATCATTACTGAAGCAGGTTGTGTCTCATTACCCCGTTTTCATAAGGTAAAAATTATTGTGCAGAAAAGTCTGTCTGCAAAACAGTTAATACTCTACAGCTGCTGCACCATAAGCCCACATCTCAAGATTCACAAACCTGACTTCTGACTACAGAAGAGCCTTCGCAACTTGTATCTCCACAATTAGCCAAAGGCAGTTCTCATTTTGGCTTCTGCTGACGTGCCTCAGCTCCAGCCTTTTATTGTCTTGGTGACAGTTGCTCATACTCGCATCTTCCTGAGCCTGTATACCACAACACACTTTACTACCTGCAACCGCAGTGAGCGCAGAGTGCAGCAGCCCATTTGCTGGTGCGTAAGAGCTGCTTCAGTGATTTGACACGGGTTTTGTGAGCACTGTTCCAGTTATCAACAAAGTTATCCATATTTTCTTCAAATCAAAAAGTAAAGTGAAATTCAAAGTCTCAGTTTTAACCTGTGAAGCCTTACATGGCTGGCTCCCATTTACTTGTGGGGCTGTTCCCTTCAAACTGAATCTGTTTGTTCTGTGGCGGCTGGGAGAGGAAGCTTGGGCTGTATTTCCCTTCCCGCCAGGACGTGGGTATGGAGTGAGACCAGAAAGAGGCCTCGTCAGTTTTGGAATAGCCTCCCCACAAGAGGTCAGATCAGCCCCACAGAGTTATCTTTTAGGAGGGCAATGAGGATTGTTTCATGACAGGGAATGATGATGAAATTTTTAGTTTTTTTATTTCTGATTCAAAATGACATTTCATTTTTTATTTTATTTTAAACCTGAATTTATGGAAGCATATTGTGTTTTATGGTGCTTAACTGTTCTGTTTATGTACTTTTATGATTGTGAACCACCTTTTATCCCACCATTTGAATATGGTAAGAGATAAATTATGTAACAAACAAACCAAAAAAAATTGTGAACCTATTTGCACAGAATTAAGAAAGTCTCACACTTTCAATAGTTCATTGGAAGTCCTGCAAAGCGAGAAGATGAGAAAGAACTTCTTTAGAAAGCAGAGAACCACGCAAGCAATTGCAGAAATGGTACTTCTGTCCCCCTTTTTACAAGCACTCACTTCCCTGCTATCCCTCGTGTATGACCATACAGAAAGCAGTGTCTTGCTCACAATCAGCTAGTTTCACACACTCAAGCAAGTAACCAAGTAGATCCCAAACAGCTGGCAAATAAATACAAAAATGCATGTTCTTATAGAAACTTGTTATTACTCTCTATGTTACTAGATCTCTTAAGTGGTATGTGCAGACAGGCAGGAAATAAATTTTAAAACAAACTAGCAAATCATAGCCTCCTCTCCAATAACCACGGGAAGCCATTCGCCAGGAAAATGGAGTAAAGCCCTAACACGTCCCCAAATCTCCACCTTCAAAATCAACATCTGAAAATCCATGGCTGCTGTTGGCTAAAGAAAGGATTATTAGAATCATCTCGCCCACCTCATCAGCATCAAGTCATATTGTATGTCAAGATGAAATTGGAGCAATCAAAATTTGTGAGTCAAAGAAGCCTAGAGGTTAGTTATGACACAACTGTGGCAGAAAGCAATAATGCACGTATGTTTTATTGGACAGCTGACTGACTCTTCCATCTCCAACATAAAGCACCCATCTCTTGACAAAGGATGCCTTTGCTATTAAATTGGTATGAGAGACTACATCAGTCACTGAGAGAAAATTAGTTGCTTGCAGTCTCTGGGGCAACTTCCTTTACTATTTTTTCCTGACACTTTGGCAATGGACATGGCTGTGCTGATAAATCCTGTTTCAAGAATTCTCTTTTCTATAACTGAGGATCTAGGACCTCTCTAGAAGACACCACTGCATCTCAAAAACACCACAGTACCCAGGGCAAACTCTGGTTCTTGAAACATGGGGGGGCACTTTTATCTCTTTAGAACCTCACTGCTGCCATGTGGAGATGAAATGATACAAAACAGCTCGTCACTTGTGGCCAATTGAACATGAAGACTCAAATACGCTATGGAATCCTAGGGATGGTACGACCTTGTTGATATTACATGTTGTAAGGCACAAACCAGCATAACGCTTATCAGAACTTACCATTTTGTCCAGAAAGATCACCAAATCCTGAAGTCAATAAGCCAAAAAAAAAAAAAAGAAAAAAAGTCAGACATCTTCTTGAGAAAAACCCTCTTCCTTCCTCTTCCGCTGCTGTACCCTCATACTAGGTCCGCACAGGCTGATACAGATTGAGAGCAGCAGCAACACAACATCATGCATGTTCTCAATGCTATTTGCACTCCACCACAGTTGAATTTTAGCAGATCATAATAGTGCACCTTGGGCACAAAGCCAATTCAATCTACCTAGGGTAGACCCTGTAGCTCCTTTACTCAAAAACTGAAACACCATCAATATATGAAATGAAATTTTCTCACGGCCCCAACTGGTTGCCTTTTGAATCCTACTCCACTGGGTTTTGACAGAAGTGTGGATCCTTTCCAGGTTGAAGTTTAGCTTGTCTATCTTATATCTTAGGATATTTTGTAAGGTCCAGATGACTTCAGGGTAGGTGGGGACTCTCTTTAAGCAGAAACCTGCCTCTTTTACTAGCCCTTTTTTCAATGCAATTGTTCCCTGCCCTGTGCCTCCCGTGCAGCCTCCCCAACCCTCCCGCATCCTCCCCCACACCTCCTTAATCCTTCTGCCACCCGGCCGGGCTGGGACTTGCAACTTTCTGCCAGCTTCCCCACTGACTTTGGTTATAGGAAGCTGGCAGGAAATTGCCTCACTTAATGACCATCGGAGTTGGTTAACAGCAGCAACTGGGACTGCAGGGATTGCCATCGCTAAGCAATATGGTCACGGTTTATAACCACATCACTTAGTGACAGAAATTCTGGTCCCAATTGCCATCGTAAGTAAAGGACTACTTGTAGAGAAATCTTGCATGTAAAATACTAAGCTATGAGTTATATACTTTGAACAGTTGTTCAACAAGTGGACGTTAAGCAGGGACCACCTTTATTAGTGTTGACCTTCTTTGGTTTAAATACTTCTTTTAAGTATTTTAAGTGTTAACCTACAATAAATGCTAGCAAGTGTATCTCAATCACCACAAAAAAAACATATTATTGAAGGTCATGACCTACCTTGCAAATTTCCTCCTGAGAATATGCTTCTATATCTGCAACAAAAACATGCATTATTAAAGCCACTGTGTGCCCCCAAATTAATTTTGAAATGCAAGACTTGCCGTGGGCTTCATATATGTGGAATGCCCTTTCAAAACTGTACAACCACTTAACACCACAGCTGGGTTTGCTTTCTTAGACTCCATAAGGAAGAGAAGTTGCTTTCACAGAAGACTATAGGAAGGAAACTATAGTCCTGTCCTATACTACACTACAGGAAGTATACACTGTACTATGCTATAGCATAGTACAGTGTATACTTCCTGTACTATAGCATATACAGTACAGTACTTCCTTACTATAGCATATACAGTACAGTATACTGTATACAGTACAGTATACTTCCTTACTATACAGTATACAGTACAGTATACTTCCTTACTATAGCATATATAGTACAGTATACTGTACTGTACTGTACTATACTATACTATAGATCAGGGGTCCTCAAACTTTTTAAACAGGGGGCCAGTTCACGGTCCCTCAGAATGCTGGGGGG